ACTGGTGTCACTCAGGGAATTCTGAATGGGTTTCTCTCATTCCCCATTTATAATTCCTTAAATGAAACCAATTTCCCAAAGACTGGAAAGTCAGTGAAGAAAATAGGAAATAAGCTTCACTGGTAGTTTCATTTTTTTTTCATAAGACTGTCACCAAGCATTTTAATGTTCAAAGCAGTTTAAAACTGCCAATCTTAGCAGCGTTTGAGCAGAGTGTAGCGTTGTTCACTTTACAAGCGTGCGCGAGAAAATAGTAAATGGCATGAAAGTTTGCAATGTTGCATTGCCAACAATTTCGTTTACAAATAATTCAATGATTCTCTGGATAAAAGAGAGGCAAGGCTTGCAAGCTAAGGTGAATCTTATACATTTTGGAATTTTACCATTTTTTCACATCAATCGTTGTAGTATTTAATGTATTAGAAAATATGTTTTGTAGATGAATGAGTAAGAGGGAATATTGTACTATTTATTCTCCTACTATTCGCCCTCGTAAGCACATGCAAGTTTGAATTCTTATTTAATGCACAGATACAATTCACAGGATGTGTCTTCAATCAGTTTTCATCAAACGTACACGTACTTCAGCGAAACTAATTTTATTTTAGGTACGAGTGCGAAGATGAAATATAATTTTGCCATTTTCAAGTTAGACAATAGTTTAGTGATTTTAGCACTTACAAGTGGTTAACTTCCGTGATCAATTTGTATGGCACAATAAAAATCGCGTGACGCAAATACCTTACAGAAGAGGTCAGTAGCACCTCTGGGGGTTTCAGAATTATTGTAGTTGGGAATAGATTATTTTTCTCAGGGAAAATGCAAATGAAATTATAATTGACATTCAGTTAAAAGACGATAGATTTATTGAATGGAATTCAATTGACCAAATGCGCCGTTTGTACAACTGTTATTACAGATTTGAAGGTTGAATATTTTAATATGGCTATTTAGAATAAAAATGAAGAAAGGGAATTGATTGTGCTTCTTGGATAACAGGCTTCGTATTCCGTGGATTCGAAATTCGAGGAGGAATTTTCGTGACAATGGATGAACAAAGGATTTCTCGTGGCGCGATGGACAGTGATTGGCGTTCTGCAGCCTAAACATCAAATTCTCACCCCCGCCCACAGCGCCCCAGTAAAAACCGGGCCGCTGTAGAAACCCACTTAGCCTGATGCCCTACCGCCTTTCCGTTACCTCTCCAAATTCCGTTCCCTTAAACTACAAATACTATATCGGCCACACGTTATATGGCCCCTATTACCCCGTCTAGTTTTCATTGAGTAAAACTGAACTGGGGCACTGTAATACCCCACTTAGCCTGCTGCTCTACTCTTCAACATCCGTCCCCTTATGCTACAAATACTGTATCGGCCACACGTTGTATGGCCCCTATTACCCCGAGTAGTTTTATGTGAGTAAAAACTGGGGCACTAATACACCACTTTGCCTGATGCTCGAATGCCTTTACGTCACCTCTCCAACACCTGTCCCCTTATATACTACAGATACTCTATCGACCACACTTTTATAAGACCCCTATAGCCCCCACTAGTGTTAAACAGGGCTTGTCCAGAAGGAATTATTTTGTTTGGCCACTTTTATCCAGCACGTTTCTCTTGGTTTTCAAGTGTCGTTATGGCTGCCATATTTGATGACAAAAACAAGATTTACTGGCTTCTTTTGTTTGTCATCCAACGTGGGCGCCAGGGATTGGTTGAATTGATTGAATTTAATTGATATTCTGATTGAATTCTCGGTTGAACAACATGCGCATTTCAGAAATTCAGCAGATCTCGAGGGCGTTTCTATTCGGCCAAAGCACTCCGTAACTTTCGAAGAGGGAAATTTCCTGGGAAAGTTTCCGGAAAAATCCGAAAACTGTTGAATTTCCGAAATACCAATTCCGGAAGTAAAATTAAATGGAACGGAATCCCCGAGTTTCCTGAAAAAATATTTCAGAAACTCTCCAAACCATTTGCTTTTCTTGTGAAGTTTCCGGAATTTTTGGTCGAAGTGAAAGTGTTCTTTGTCTTCGTACAAGTGAGATGATCTCACGATGTCTTGAAAACTTCTGTCATCAAAGGTCCACCATTTCAATCTTACGATTTCCTCAGAAAGGCACAAAATAACGAAAATTGATGTAAAATTAATCCAAAATTATTTTAGAATGTTAAAAAAATGTAATTCTGCAAAGCAGCTAAAAAATAGGGAAATCAAACAGGGAATTACGTAGAAAAAGACTCAAAGGATTTCTGGTCTATTTTTAAATTTTGAATTCTGAATTTCCATTTTGAATTTGAAAGTTAAAAATTTTCCCCTGGAAATTCAACAATTCTCGGATTCTTCAGGAACTTTTCTAATCGTTCGCGTTTCCAATGTTTCTGAAATCTTTCCCAAGAAATTTTAAATACCAGTTACCCATGAAAAAGTTCCGGAGTTACACATGCATAACGAATTTGGGCGCTTATGTTATTGTTTGTGTTTGACCAATCGCTAAGAATGGTAACCATTTTTGAAAATTAATTTATTCAAGATTTGTTGCACGAGTGAAACTGTTCCTTCGTGAAACCACGTTGTGCAGGAGTCTGATGCACGCGAAGTTTGAAAGTTTGAGCAAAGTCCAAGCTTCGGGGAAGGAACAAATACCGCATTATTTGTTTAAGAAGTGCAATTAACATGACATTGAAAACTTCAGCGAAGTCAACCAAATGTTTGGCCGGCAGAACCACTGGAACGCTGAAAGTGCTGAACTGAATTTGCCACGTTGTTGGAACTCGTCTTTGCACGGTAAATGGCCTTACAATATTATTTGATCTATCATTTAGTGGTTATATTTAGTTCCTTGAAATAGTAGCAATTTGTTTTATATCAATTGATATGAAATATCGACGTACTGTGGAGTTACGTTACGTCTCGTCTCGTTACGTATCGGCGAGTTACGTCGAGTCGAGTTAGCAGAAATATTTAATGACTTCTTGGCAAAATGAATCATACCAACGTATTTCATTTCACCACGAGATTCCCAAGCATTATTTCCTCAAACGTGATTAAACAAAATAAATTTAGTACCGGATTGATCGATAGTGGGATTTAGGTAAA